GGCGGCGGCAGGGGCGGGGCTATTCTGAACGCGGCGGGGCGCGGCCGCAGTAGCGGGGTACATGCAACGCTACATGCTCATTACAATACAACACACATACACTATCATACACTACGCTACTGCAAACTCATACAACCTTTATCCTGATGAACATAAGTTACATTATTCATATCAATTTTAAATACAAAATATACAAAGTTATTAGTATTCAATTACATAAATACATTTTTTGTACTAAGGTAAAATTTTTGACTAATACAATAATATAATATATAATAATATTTAAATCAATTATACAAATAAAACATATTTTATTTTACAAAACTGTTATAATAATACTTTAAATCATACATTTACATAATCTCTACTTTTAGGTTTTTCAAAGGAATTTCCCTACTAATAAATAAAACTATCATATATTTACAAATCAACGTCAGTTAAAATAATATTGAAATATTAGGCAATCTGCTAAAACCCAATATTACAAAAATAAATAAATAGTATATTTAAATGTCTACATCTCTTGAAATCTAAAAAAACGTATCACATTTGTAAAACATTGTCAAAAGTCACATAATTTGTGTGTTCAAATGTCGGTTCTTTTTATTCCCATTTGTGTGTTATTTTAAATTTTATAAAATAAACTAATACAAGGACATAGTAAAGTGTATAATACAAATTAAAGCTACGCAAAATAACTTACATATAATACATAAGAAGATAGGTTTGTTCATCAAGATAAAAAATAAAAAAAAAAAGATATAAAAGACATCACAACCCAAACTACATATATAACGCAGTTATCCATTTTTAATTTATACATCTATGTTAACTATTAGTTTAATCTTAAAACGATTAAATTAAAAAAAAACATGATATTGCGTTACATATGCTGTTTTCACTATAAGATTTATGTTATATTTTCTTCCTGAAAAATAATTTTTATATATTACAAAACTATTATTTGGCAACTCAACTTGCAATGCACACACGAAAAACAAATAGTAATGGGATTTTGTTGTGAGCAATTAAGTTATTTTTTCTTGAATTGTATTTAGTGTGTTCTTTCCTTTTTGCATTTAATTATTTACAAGAGCATAACAAAATTCCTCCACTATAGTCGGGTTGCGGAGAACAAAGAAATTCGTACAATGTGCTCTTTGCCTATCGCCAGTGTTGATAAACATTTTTTTTTTGTACCGAGATAAAAAATCTTAAATGGAAATAGAACCACTAGGTTCTATTTTAAAACAGTAATAAGTAAAGTTAATTAAAATAATTTCTTTATTTTTTAATTATCAATCACTATATGAAACCAAAAACCCCATACATAGAATAAATCTTAACTTTGGAAGTCAAATATTTAATATCCCTTTAGTGGCGGTCATTGCTTCAGTGTGAACGGGACACACAATATAGGAGCGACAGAGATGGATGCTATCATAATATACGAAATTCTTCGTCCTCCAATCCGTACGTTAGCATATAAATATAATATATAACACACAAACATATCGAATAGTTTTACCGTGGACACGTAGGCTGTATGCGTTAGGTCCACCTGCCGCGAGCCGCGCGCCGCGTGCGGTGAGCGGTAAACGATTATTTTATAAAACCATCCCTTATCCCTACCCTCTAACATCCACAAATATAAGTATTGCAAATACATAAAACGTACATTTGCCTTTCCCTTTTTTTGGCGACTTTATGCCGCCCTATCCTTCCCCTGTCGTATTTTTTAATCAGGGACCTGGAGTGCGGGTGTTACTTATTTCAAAGTATACTAAATTTAAACATAAATTAACATCTATCTAAATCTTAACATCACAATTTGTCTAATACTTCAAAACAATAAAATTATAATTCAATTAGTAAAATTTAGACTACAATTTAAAAACAAAATTTTTATCTACTGGATTGATATGGCAGAGGTAACAAATAAGTACTTCGCTATTTTAGCGAATGACACAAACGATGGCTGCAACTCAACCTTTGTAGTTAATACAGTTAGGGTTGCCTTTATAAAGTTACGTTGATCTTTGTATACTGTACTTTTGGATTATTTACGTCTTAAAAAAAACGGCAATACTTATATTTGTAGTTGGAATACGTTTCTACATCCTAAGTCGGTCTAAGTTGATAAAATTGATAAAAGACGAATAAGTGAAGGTTCAGAGGAAGTATAGATGTTTCTCACATGATATGGTTAGACCGACATAGAATGCAGTTTGAATATATATTTTTAGCGTATGCATTATTATGTAACTTCTGAGGAGTTTGAAAATTAAAGTAATACATTTTTTTAGGAGATATTTCCTTTTTTAACTTTAATATCAATCACCTCATTCCAAAGTTTATTCACACTTGGTCCTTCGAGTCTTATATTCATTACGGTTTCTCTATACATTTGTCTACATAAATGTGTGTGTACACATATATCTGTATATTTTTGATTATTATGTGAAGTGAGATATGAAAAATAATTATTAACCATGGAAAGTGTGAACAACCCCTTAAACAAAACCTATAATCATTTTGTGAGATAGAGAAAAAATGAGAAAGTGGGAAAGAGATAAAAATCTTTAATTCTTTTTAAATTATCCTAAATGACTATAGGTCTTGTACTAAGCAAACAACAATTATGACACTTAGGGCCTGTCCCACCTCTGGCTGATAGAGGCTCAGATAGCTGAAAAATGACATCACTGTCAGATAAGGGAACAAAATCAAATATTTCCATCACATATTTTACACGTTCGATTGTTATCAGACAATTTACAATTTAGTGGGGCAGGCCCTTATTGTTTTCAAATAAAAATATATAACATCTAGACGTATGAGGCAAACCATTATACATGCAAATAAAAAAATTTACATTTATTAATATAACAAAAACATAAGCGATGCAAAGTGGAGAGGAGTTGTGTTGGTTAGTTGATGCAATGGGAAGAGGCCACGATGGATAAATACCATAATAAGGGAATATATGGTTCCTCTATGTACGCGAATATATTTTTTCAGCTAGTAACATAAGCATTTTGTGTAAAATGTTGGTAATGAACGGTAGGTTTTTTCACTGTATGATTCAATAAGTTGAAATGGTGTTGCAAACGAATGCTGAATTTAAACTGCACAAAAAAAACTAAGCAAATAAATATCTCATCATTAAATTCTATGAAAAAATAATTTAATAATTAAACATAATTTTTTATAACTATCATATTCTAGGCGTTCATTTTATCGATTCAATTTTTTTACCATTATTCTAATGGAATCTAAAATCCTCAAGAAAATTGATATCAGCATTCTGGTACTTGACATATATTGTGTTTTTTCCATGTATTACAATTCAGCGTGCGTTAGAGTATTGAGGCACGTATGAGGCATGTGTGAGGTACGTATGACGAACGTGAGAATCAAGTGAGGCTTGTCGGGCATGTATGAGGCGGCATGTGTGTGGTGTGTGACATATGAGGTGTGTGAGGCATGTGAGGCGTGTGAGGCGTGTGAGGTGTTACCTGCGCACGGGGCTGCTGAGCGCGAGCGGCGTGGGCACACCGAGCGCCTTGATGCGCTGCTGCATTGTGGGCGAGGGCCGCGCGCCGTTCGCCCCCGTCTCGTACCGCAGCGGCTCCATCACCACCCGGTAACCGGACGTCGTCGTGCCGTGACTGGAAGTGTACATAATAACTATTACATAAAGGCAAAACATACGAAATTCCACACCAACTGTATGTAATCTTCAAGTGCACAGTTTTCATGAAACTTTATGCCGCAAAAAATAATCACAAATAAATCACCTTTCTAATGGTGAAAGAATTAAAAAAAACTGCCTAGTAGTTTTTCCGTGAATCAAATACATAAAAAAACTAAAAACACAAATCTTTCCTCTTTATAATATTAGTATAGATATTATTACGTAAAAAATGAATAATTCAGGCTATATTTGCATACCCGGTGTTCCTGGGCAGCGGGCTAAGGCGCGGGTAGTGGTGCGCGCGCGGCTGTCTCTCCGGCGGAGGGAACAAGTTGGCGGCCGAGCCGCGGCGCTGCAGCGGCGGCGGCGTCGGCTCGCAGTCCGCGCTCTGAGACGCGCCCGGGCCTTCCAGCTCACCCTCAGCCTCGTGCTCCTCGCGCCCCGGCGACAGCTTCACAACATAACACCCTTAGATAACTTAACGAAAATCGATGAGCTGCAGATCAGCTGTTCGAATGGTTGAAACACATCAGTGATCCGGGTCGCAGCTCGTCAACTTCCATAGTTACAGTACATCGCGTTGGCAATAACTGTTAATATAGTTGAGCCACAGCTCAACGTTTCAAGGCTATTTGAGCTGATCTTTTGAACGGATTATACTGTTCCGTAGATCACCTCGCACAAATAGCAATGGATGTTACTCTAACGTAACCGCTTGGTATTGCCAGAATATTGCGTGTTCGGTGCTAGAACAATTGTGACGAACTATACAAAATATAATGTCTGGTTTACATTCCAGTCCAGCGATCGATATCAGTGTTGGATTACTGGAAAAATATTAACGCTGGTATGCACTTTGAGGATCCCAGTAGATATATTTTCCGATTGAAATCTAGGGCTGATTTTAATCGCTGGGTTGGATTAATGGAAACTGGTAATTCGTGTTGTATAAGCGTGTCGCTTCGAAATTTTATTTACATGTAGTCTTTTTTTGCTTTATTGCTGTATTAATTTCAAAGAAGTAAATGTGTAAATTGTTTGAGACCAAGTAATTTAGTACAAGTGAAAAGTGGACATACTGTAATTAATTTACTTAGAAAAATTAAGACATACAATTTAAAAAACTGTTGAAGTGGCATAAGCTAAAAGTGAACGTTTTTAATTAATATTGAATTGTTAAATAAAACAGACAAACTATTTAGAGAAATAACAAAATACAAGAAAAACAGCAATATGTGTGTAGATTACACAGAAATGTACAAAAAATAATTCCGAAATCTAAATATTAAATTGTCATCTCATCAAATCTATACAAAAATATATTTCTTATATAAGAAGTACTGGCAGCTTGGAAATATTCCACAATATAAGTACAATGTCCATTTGAATTCAAAAAAGGAATCAATACATTTTATTTTAATGTGGAATATTTTCAGCCAGTTTTTATTTAAATTCGAAGTTTTTAGTACTTTTCTAATTTAAATTAGTTTTACCCCCACCAATGTACCATGTAACATTACATTAAACAGAGAGCCAGACATATTCATGTCTTCAATTCACATATATACAAATTTATGTGCCCGTGCAAAAATATAACTTGTGCTGTGAATTGAAGGTATGTTATTGTTTGCTCTACAAGCATGACAACTAGATGATTATTCAACATTTATGATATCAAGCAATTTTGAACTCTAATGAAGCTGTAATTGAAACTATACTAGTGAAGATGAAAGAAAATTATAAAAAAAAAATATGAAAATCAAAATAATTTCATCAATAATATAAAATGTTGTAATTTTGAAGAAGTCTTAAATAAGTTTACATTTAGTTAATCGCCAAAGCTGAAGGTTACTGATATCAAATAATAAACTATATATTAATAGTCAGTTCATACCAGATGATAAAATTAAAAAAAAAGTATTGTGTTTCACATAAGAAAAGAATTGGAATAAATTTTGACAACATTTAGATAAAAAAAGAAATTTTATAATAAATAAATATTTATAAACGAAGGAAAGGTCATTGCTCTGAGAAGATACCGAAAAAAATAAAACACCCCAATTTACTAATAATTTAACTTTAAAACTTAGGAAAATTCAAGTAATTGCTGATGAAAAACCCAGACCCAGGTATCAAAAGTGCGATATAAAAGGGTATATATTGAATGGTAGTGCAATGGTCCTTGGAGCAGGATCCGGCGAGCGCACGGTGCGCGTTAGCAAGCGTCTGGCTCTCACCTTGTTGTAGTGCGCGTGCGCGCCGAGGGCCCGGTGCGCACTGCCGTTGTCCGCCGTGTACGTCTTTACCTGGTGCGTGTCGGTCGCTATGGTTGAGATAGCGGACGCCGACTGGCCCACCATGCCCGGCTCGCGACGCTTCTTGCCGCCCTTGTAGATGTACTTCGAAGGACGGACCAGACTGAAAATTTTAAAAATAACAACTATAATATAGATTTATTAGTAACCGCATTTAATATAAGAGCTTATAGTCTAATGATTGGGGGTACAGAATACCGATATTGCGGTCTAGGGTTGAATCCCGCCATTCGTCTGTTGTCGTGAACTATTCCAACTAAGCTCTATTGGTTCGTCGTTCGTTGATCGTACGTTTATTAAAAAAAAAAACAACTTGCAACTTATCAAACATCACATTTTATCTAAAAAAAAATGTTCATTTTCATTAATAAATTACTATAAAAGATCAATTTAGTCTTCAATTATTTTACCATTTCTCTTATAAATACCGAAATGTAATTATATAGAAAATATACGTTACCTAGGATATTGTGGTCCGAACTGCGTATAACAGCAATTATACCAACAACCCTTAGAGAAAGGGTTGTACCCGCCGGTGAACTTGCCCGTCACCTGCTCGTTGGTGGTGCGACCGCGCGACACCAGCACCATATGGAACCCCGTCAGACCGAAGATGGGAATAGCTAATAGAACTATTACACCCATTATCACCATACTGTTCATATACTGTTAAGTTAATATTTCAATAAAATAATTCGTACTAAAATAACAAGTTTTGTAAAAATGCTAATACTGCCACATATAGACGTGTTTTAAGATTTTAGATTGCTGTTTGTTATGGACATAGACTGGGCTTAATACAGATTTCACACAATTATATCTATCCTAATATAAAGAAAAAAACTTTGTTTGATTGTAATAAATAGGCTCAAAAACTACTGGGCCGATCTCAAAAATTCTTACACCATTAAAAAGCTACGTTATCAGTGAGTAACATTGACTACATTTTTATTATTTTATCACATGAATATCACAAAGACGAAGTTGCGAGCGGAAACTAGTTATTTATAAAAAAGGATACGAGACGATAGGCTCAACCTGCGTGAGGTTCTTGTTATACATAACGAAGTACAGGCTGAAGCCGAATATGCTGAGCATGTGTATCGAGAGCGAGATTAGAAAGAAAAAGAAGAATCGATAATTCCGCCGTCCGATGCAGTTGTTCACCCACGGACAGTGGTGGTCAAATGTCTGGAACAACATTCAGTCAATGATAGACGGTATTACATACATATTACACACATCATATTATATTTGCCTTATAATTGCCTCTAGTAGAAGCATCGAATATGTTACTTTTGATTCTGCTGATTTCGACAGGTAGCAGTTAACCCCTGGTTTATTTAAATAAGACTGTAAAAAAACTCTGCCTCTTAGAGAAAATATACATGATACACGGTTCACACTTGGCCAAGTTCAGTAGCGCTCAATAACAAGACTTTCAATCAACTGGCACAATGTTGACGCTTACTGGCACCAGTGAGTCCATACAATATATGACTGGTTGTACTGTCCAACCGTACTGGCCAAGTGTGACCCGGGCATGATAGATGCGTATTCGCAATACAATTTAAATAATTCAACAGTAACGTATGTAAGCTTACCTCTATGCAATGGTTGCATACGGAGCAATGCGAGCAGCGCGGCGGTCGATAGAACTTGCAGGTGACGCACCACTTCATTCGCACGGTGATGCCGTTGATCTCCACGCTGCGGTACAGCGGCGCGCGGAAGTCGTCCTCGCGGTCCTCGTCAGGTGGAGCTATGGCAACATAATGCAATTTTAAAAACAAATTTACTTCCCAACTGTACTTTAATAAAGTACGTATAAAGATTTACGACACGAAAGTATTTTAAAATCAACTTATCGATTACTTCATAAGGGTACAGTGTCGCACGAAAATCGTTCATGGACCGTGTAAAAAGACACATGATGTAGTTTTCAAGATCGTCGTTATGAGGATGACAGAATACAATGTAACATTTAGATTTAATTTATCGACCGTACTTTAACAGTACAGTGACACACAGAAATCAATTTAAGTCTTCATTAAGTGAAGTTGCACATAATTTAAGTTAACAACTGTACCATGTTAAGGTAAAACGACGACCGGAAGTAGCATAATAAAGAGTTAGGGTTGATTAGTTCACTGACCATACATGCAGTCATGCATTACAAACTCCATTAAGTTCCCATATCTAGCTTATAATAAAACATCTATTTGTTTACCTTGCATCAACAAGATCAAAGTCATACATAGGGTGTTTTAAATGTTGACCTTTTAATAATTACAGTCAAAAGAAAGTAGAACAAAGTTGCATTACTGGTGTTATAGTTCAACAGAGTAGATTTGAACCTGTGCCCTTCAAGTTCACAAGACTCACCAACAAACCTTGCCACTGAACTAGTCACCACTTCAATGTAATAGCATTAATATTTAAGTTGATTAAGCAAGGACATTAAATGTCAACATAATGAATAATATTATAAATGCGAAAGTTTAGATGGATGGATGGTTTGTTAGAGTTTGTAGCATAAATGGCTGAACGGATTTCGATGAAATTTGGCGTAGAAGTAGAGGGTGGCCTGTAAGCACACATAGGCTACTTGCATTTTTTTAAATTCTGCGCGTACAGAGTTGTGGGCGAAAGCTAGTTGTACATGAACTGTTTTGGTATGTAAATTGTAGTTTTTTTTTTGTCCTTAAAGATGTTTATAAACTAAGTGTTTGGATAATCTGTCCGCAAATCTCATAATAGGTCAGTTGAATAACATCTTTTTTTTCCAAATTGTTTGCCGAACAAAACATTATGCATGGTGTTGCAATATCAGCCTATTATCATTGTACAAATATATCAGGCTATTATCTCGTATATTTTTGGTAATACTTGATAGAGATTAATGAGTGTGTATATTTATCTATAGATACAATTTGTTTTCATATGTTTTACTGTTTTACGCTGATTTATCTAAATTTATTAAAGTTTCTTTTTTATAACATTTAGCTATATAAGTAAAATAGGCTATATTGAATACTAGATATTTATCCCTTGTGAATAAAGGCACAAACAAAAGCTATAATAAAACTTGGTGTCAAAACTCTTGTAAACTCAATAATTTCAATCTCGTATTTGAAACAAAAATAATATTGAAATTTACAAAGAATACAAAAAGCATATAATCTTATAAAATTATCTTTTATTAAGTAACTATTAGCACAAACCAGTCTGAAGCATTAATTGCAACACAATGTTTTTACTCAAACTACAAAATGGATTCCAATTAGAGGAATGTTCATAACAATTACTTAATAATAATAATAATAATAATTTATTTAATTCATGTAACAGAATATTACACATATAATATTTACAGGAACACTACATATTATATTACATAGACAGAAGAATTACATATTATATTACATTACACACACACACATAAAGAAAAAGGAGAAACTAAAATTAAAACGATCTAGGGGACCCGATGCCGGCTACGCGCATATGTACGCGCCGCCAGTGCCCCATGATCGGGCAGTCGGGCTTCTCACTAAGCCCTCTTAGGATGCTGTTGGTACTCTCCCGAACTCTGCGTAAAAGAGAGGCCGTACGTTTGCGCAGTATGGCGTTAAAGCCGTCAATCCGCGTTTGCGCAAACATCTCTGACGCACTGCAGTGTCGGGGGAGTCCCAGCAGCATCCTAAGGCTATTATTATATTGGACGCGGAGGGCGCTGACAGCCCGTTGCGTGTAACTAACCCACAGATTGCACGTGTAGAACGTCTGGCAGTACGCCTTAAAGAGTGTGATTTTCACCTCCGTACTACATCGCGCAAATCTGCGGGCGAGCATGTTGGCACGGACTGCCATCGCCCTTCGCTCCCTTTCAATATCTTTGTCGTCCTTCAAGTCCTCAGTGACCACATGTCCGAGGTACTTGAAGGACGACACCTTACGTAGGTCAACTCCGTTTAATTTTATAGGCGGAATATGTTCCATCTTACGACATCTAGCTCGGAACACCATGAACTCGCTCTTGTGCACATTATAGATGAGGCCATGAGTTATCGCATATTTCTCACATATACCGATCAGTCGTCTCAAGGCGGCGACCGAAGGACTCAGCAGCACCATATCGTCCGCGTAACTGATGCTGTTCACTGTGTGACCATCGATGGAACACCCGACACCTGCGCTGCTGAGTTCCACGATCAGCTGATTTATATACAGGTTAAAAAGCGAGGGCGAGGAAAGACCACCCTGCCTCACCCCGCATTCCAACCTATACGACCGAGAAAACTGATCCAGCCATTTGACCTGGTTAGTTTGATGATCGAACCAATATTTTAAAACGTTAATATATTCGCCTGGAACACCGGCCTCAACTAATTTAGACCATAAAATGTCGTACTTAACCAGGTCAAACGCTTTCGTAAGGTCCAAAAAAGCCGCGTAGACAGCAGTCCTCCTATCCGTGTAATACTAATAGCAGTCACAATAGAGAATAATGTATTTCACTATAAAAATAACCAACAAGCAATTTAACACATTCAATGCCACTACATTTAGTTGTGTGTATTCATGACCACTTCAGTAACTGATTAGCCAATAGCCAAGCCAAGGTAGCACTGAAAGTGTTATGTCTCGGGTTTCTTTACTAAGAATCACTTTGTTAAATAAGTAATTAAGTTGCAATATGAATTCTCAATGGTATGTTTTTCCTGGAACATATACAAGGTCTATAATGGCCTGAAGTAAACCACAAGATTAATTTGCATATTTGAATCATTCACACTGCACACAAATATAAATGTGATATTTTAAGATACATACTTTGAAGAATTATATCGATGGGTGAAAGGCTATTTGTTTTAAGCGCCATTCAGTTAAATATTCAGAAGAGCCATTTAAAGTTTTCTTTTTTAGAAAAAAAATCATAAAAGAAAATCCTGAAAATAATTTCAGTTGAAAGATTTTTAGATTCTGCATACTTCATTATTTATTTGATATTTAAAATTTGCTGATTCTGAATATATAAGTAAATATATCCTAAAATGCATAATAATTGAAACAAATTATCTTTCACCCATCGACATGTAATATATCAACTTCTGTTTTGCAACAATTTAACTATAAGTTGTTATAACTATAAGTCAAATATAAGTCAACCTCCAAAGGTTTAACAATGACTTTCAACACTAAACATAATTTTAACACACTTCCAAAAGGTAACCGTTTTTAATATTTTTGCAAACTACACATCACTGGCTCTTATGTAAAGTATTGTGTACCACAAATTTAAGATTACTAACTTGTTTTAATGTTTTAATTAACTTGATAAATAATAATTTCTAAGTAAATTTGAAAGAACTGTAGATTTTTGTTTTCTTTTGTATTCAAATTTATAGTTTTGTTTTGCAACATATGCATTTCAAAGATATACAAGAGATATAGTTAACATAAATGTCATCAATATAAAATAATTGTTATATCTTCTATCTTTTATAACAATAATAAAAAGGTAATCAACTGACCTTTTGGTATCACACCCGGGTCCATGAAAGTGGCCAGTGTAAAATTGGCCAAAACAAAAAAGGTTATGACACCTTGGTATGCAGGTACCCATGGGTGTCGGTGGAGATAATACTGGCATCTGTAAAAAATAAATAAAAAACGTAAATTTTCTACTAATATCAAAAGACTACTAAGCGGAATTGCATACAACACAATATTTTAGGCATATCACTGATCACAAAACTCATTATGCACTAAAAAAACAGTTTGTAGTAATATATAAACAGCAATCATAAGTATTTACTACAGTACAAAAGTGCCAAAAAAATTTAAAGGCAACATTATTTACGACCTCCTAACAAATTTCATATAAAAATCTGGGAAATTAATACAGATTTGTAATCTGTCTTATGCGGTCTAATTGCATCTTAACTCCAAGTAAGACTTACAAAATGTATAAATGATTGATAGAACAGATTATTCTCACAATGTTATCACCAAGTTCTTATTGTTTCATATTATTAAGGATCTATGACAAAACGGAATAGTTTACACCAGTTTATTGCATATACAATTATTACAACACTAGCTTCCATCTGCGCAGATTAAAAAAAAACAAAAGCAAGTAGCCTATGTGTTCTTCCAAACTATCCTCTACAACTATGCCAAATTTCATTGAGATCACTTCAGCCATTTAGGCTACAAACTCTAACAAACATCCATCCATCTAAACTGGCACATTTATAATATTAGTAAGATTGATCTGGGTCAGTAACAATATTACAAATTAAATTGATGTCATATTTTTTAACGATTGATTTGCTTGGGGTTGTTACTGCTTCACCGTTTTATTGTGGAGTACTTCACTCTTCATAATGTCAAAAAACTTTACTAACAAAAAAAAACTGTTGTATATATTCTTGTTCATTCCTAAGCTGACAATTAGCTTTGTTTATATCAATTGGTCACCGGCTCCACAAATACGGCTATAGTAAGCAAATGTATTGAAGGAGAATTTTAAGCAGCCTAATGTAAATAAATGTCTTTCTTTGGAATGATTAGTCAATGGCAACGCGAAGGGGGGCATCATTGGTATACAATAAGATGGAAAATCCATATCCCAAAGCAAATAGGGCAAAGGTAACTATAAGATATTAATAGAAACAATTCTATAATCTTATGTGAAAGTTGCCAACCCTATGAGTAAATTCGTATTCAATCGACATGTTGTATACTTACGGAAAATAAAAAAACAGAGAAGTCGTTCCCAAAAGTAGTGTCCAGGCGAATGTCGCGGGGATGTATCTGGTCTTGAGGTCGCATTTGGGCATATTGTGTCAATTTTAATTCTCTAAAAGCAAATTATCTCGATTTTATTCACCACAGACCAACATGGCCGCGCCTATTAGTATGACAGACAGAAACTGTGTGGCAACAATAATGACTTTGACAGATTTAATTAACCTTTTTCGTTTTTTTTCTAGTTGTAGGCAACATTGCAAAACATTGTAAAAAATAGATAAACGTTTACTCAATTCCCTATTTATTCCCAAAAACAGCTACTGCACCGTAGAACCAGTTCTTCCCATCAGAGAGTTCTGTAATACATTCCCATCTTTGCTGGATATAATGTTCTTTCGGATGCAGATCCGGCGTACGAGGCGAGAGAATTCAAGATGTTGACAAGTTAAGATAAAATCATGCCAAATACGTTTATGTTTTATAGTGATGATGTAGATTTATTTTTAACCTAAATAACATCCTGATATGCATCAGATCCAGCGCACAAAAACGAACTTACATAAGCATAATATATGGCCTTTGACCTAAATATCGATATCGCACAAATGAATGCTAAAATCATTCCGAGAAGCTACAATTTTAATAACTTACACCAACGGAAGATTGTAATTTTATTTACATGACCTATATTAGATGTTATAGCTGTTTATAGCAACACCGATTACAGCTGAAAGCTGAAGTATGAAGTGACAAGTTAAGACAACTTGCAAAAGCATGCTTCGCCTGCCTGTCATATCCAGCTGGTCCGAGACAGAATGAATAAAGGTATTTTTCTGCCTACGTAATAACTATTTTATGCGGGTTTTTTTATTTATTATACAATGAATTGAAAAGTTAAATCCAAAAAATATTGTCAGTCCATAAATTAAATAACGAAATAATTAAACGAGTTAAATAAGTTCCTACAGTTAAAAAATAAACACGTTTACAATATTTTACTTGAGACACACAAGAAGACAAAACTTTATAAATTCACGTGTTTTGTTAGTGTTACATACTATTAAGTTAGTGTATATTTTAACTCATTTTTAAAAACATTCTGTACTAAAACAAGTAACATTACGTATTTATTTGTATGCTATTACAATAAACATTTAATTTTAATTTTTGCTTACTTTAATTCAAGTGTAGAATTCAATAATTTTAAAATTAACCTCCATTGGCTGTAGTTTGAAATGTCATTTTTATTCTATTGCCATTGGTCCAATTTTGTCTTGCAGTCTCGCGGATAAAAATGGCCGCACTGTTGTCTTCATGCTTGTATTTGATGATATGACATTGAATTATCGTAAGTTTTTTGTTGTAATCAGCGAAAACTAGAAGAGACTCTGACTTATATCTCACATTTTCATAAAAACAGAAGTCATAATGTCTGAAAGTACTAGCCCCAGTGTTTTAAGTTATCTAAGGCAGTATAGGTTTCAAAGGAAACCTAACGCTCCAGGGTCTAGCGGTACAATGACTATTGCAGCATCATCATCAAACTCTCGTGAGTAATCATATTTTGTCAGCAACAAAAACGTTACCTACAAACTCTTAGTTTAATTTCGTTGTCAAGATTATTGACCACGTTTTCAGCTGTGTAGTGCGGCTCAAGGTTTTACTTTTTTCTAATGTTTGTAAAATAAACAAATAAAAAATAACACGGTTTTAAGGTTTTTTAATCCAATCTTCAGCGTAATATCTATAACCTGTGTATTATTTTAAATCCTAATGAGAGATGATCGTATTAAACCACGTGAAATTCGAAAGAAACTTCGTAGAACATGGTTTAGTGAACATTTCAGTTGAAAATTAAATTAAAACATTATTAAATACTCCAGTTGACTGAAATAAAGTAGAAATGGAAAGGCTTTTTTACTTCTATGACTGCTACCTTATATTTTTACTCTTCACTTTAGTTATTTTAATTACTTAAAATCACTCTAAACATGCGTGAAATGTATGTAGTTATATCAACTACTGTTATATTACATACAGTTATGACATTTTTAAATCTGTTTATATTTGTATCATGCAAAAGCATTGTTCACAATTATAAAACAATTTTCTTATAATTCCATTACTTGATAAAGCTATACTCATTAATTAATGTCAAGCATCTTTCTGGGCTTAATCATCTTGTGTTCTAAGGCATTACAATTTATTTTGAAGATCTACTTAACTTCAGTTTTAATAATTATAATTTTCACATCTTGTAATACAAGTTTTAGTTCTAAACAGTAAAGAAATCTTAACATTTAATGTATACCAAAATGATGATTTTATAGTAGAATAATCATAAAACTCAATTGATGTGATTTAAAAAAATGTATCATAGTGCAATATGGATAAAAGCATTTACATAAAAACTTTTTTTTCACAGAATCCATCATAAGAATGCCAGCTCCTGTGGGCAATAGGAATGGGCCCATTGTTTACAAACGAATAAGAATATTGGATTCAGATTCAGATGACTCCCCATCACCGGCTAAGAAGCCTGCCACAGCACAAGTGGAGCTCACCACAGGGGTTAAAGAGAGGAGATTCCGGAATATGCTAGAAATGTTTCCAGAGATAAGTCCCATGGTAAGATGGTAAAAATGTATTATTTAGTTATGATATTAAAAGGCAATTTATATGTTTAAATTTAAGAGAGTGGCAAATAAATTAACAATGAAAAGAATGCATATTAACATCATCTCTATCAACCTACTCTTGTAGAGTTGGTTCACTGGGTTTTTGTCCTCCAAATAACTCAATCCTCCATCATCTCAGATGACTGAGGACTGAGGACCGACCCATGGGTGGTGAGAGGTAGTGATGACACTACCTTTCTTAAATAGTTGCTCATATATTCAAATTTCTACAGTACATAAGTTATACTTTGAAAAACAAAATCACTTACCTAATAACTTATACTAATAATTAACTACATTTTTTTTGTTTCTTAGTTAATAAAGAATACATTAGTGAAACAAGGCTGGAATGAAGAGCGTACAAGAGATGAGCTGTTGAAAAATGATCCAGAAACTGTTGATAAGGGTTCATCCAACTTTATAAGCCCGCGGCCATGCTTCTCCGGTAATATGTCACGGTCTAACGGAAATATGGGTATTGTTAGAGTGACCAGTGGTAGACCAGTTACAGTAGTTAAGAAAGCATTAGCCTCTAAAGGTGGGAGAGCCAGACGGGGCAGTAGTGGCAGTGAAGATGAAGATTATGGAGTCAAGAAAGGAAAGGATGACAAAGTATATGACAGGTGAGTTGTGATACATAATCTATCTGCGATTTTATATTTGTCACTATTAAAAAATTTAACTGCCTAGTGATTATTGATGCTTTAAAAATCTCTATAATTTAACATACAAGCAAGTAGTCAATGGAATTCGTAAAATTATCGTAGTAACCGCCGCTTATCGACATTCGCATTTGTAGTGCATTGGTTTTGTTCAATAAAGAAGATTATCAGAGAGACCATAAACATAAGATACCTATGCATCCCGTCATCCAGCAAAGAACTGATAGTAAAATAAACTAATAGTAGAACTAAGTAAAATGATGGAAATTGTATGAATCAAATACTCTTTTATTAACAACTTAATATCTTTTCAGTGATGACTCTGATAATGAAGTGACTGATGACCTTGTGGGTGACAAACGTAAAGTATTTGAATTTCTGAACACAAGTAACATGAATGAGTTGTCACTGTTGAGTGGCTGTTCGCAGAAGAAGGCAGAAGCTATTATAGGATTAAGGCCATTCAATGGCTGGTTAGATATGGTAAGAGTGCTTTAACATTTTTAATTATACATTTTACAGAAACTTTCAGAATCGGTAATAGGTAAATCTACCCTTAAGTAGTGCTTGAATGTAGATTAAATACTAGCTTTCGCCCGCGACTCCGTCCGCGAGGAATTAAAAAAAACAGTAGTAAATAGCCTATGAGTTCTTTCTTCCAGGCTATGCTCTACATCTGTGCCAAATTTCATTAAAATCCATCAGCAGTTTAGGCTACAAACTCTAACAAAATCCATCCATCCATACTTCCAAATTTTCACATTTTTAATTTCAGTAAGATTAGAAGGATCAAGAATCAACACTAATGAACTATTTAAGTAATCATTTATTCACTCTGGGTGTAGCTGTGATATTTACTTTTACAGAAGTCATGTACTTTTCTAAGAAAACTTAAAAAATCTACACTAGCAAATTAATTATGTTTTATTACAATTTCAGGTAGAAAAATTCAATAGTAACAAATTATTGAGTACAGAGTTATTAAATTCGACTCAACTATTATTAAGCACTAGGAACAATATCCAGCGTCTAATGAAGAAGTGTGTGGGCTTGGCGCAGCAGTTGGAGGCTGCGGTGGCCGCTGGGGCTGGGAGACTCAAACAGCCTAGTATTTTGGACACTAGGTATGGCCAACATACTAAATACTAGCAAATTATAATATAGAGTATTGGTAAAAGTTTTTGACTAATGAAAAAAAATTGTTTATAGCATTTATAGTAGTATGTTACTCTTATTTTACTAAAAAGCCAATGGAATGTTGGCGAATCCGTTTTGTATTTACGAAGAGAACGAGACATTGCGATATGTGCACAAGATAGAAAGAGATAGATAGTAGATTGTCGACTCCATAGTTTTAAGGTTAATGATGTGTCGCTGTTAGTGTGACTATAAGTCTTCTCAGATACCAGAGACAATTTCTTTTTATTTCGAATTAAAGCATTTGTAATATAAATCAATATAAGTATGACTTTAATATTTCAGTTTAAAACTAGCTCCTTACCAGTTGGTGGGTCTGAACTGGTTAGCGGTGCTGCACAAGCAGGGTGTGTCCGGTATACTGGCGGATGAGATGGGGCTCGGTAAGACTGTGCAGGTGATAGCATTCCTCGCACACCTCAAGGAGACTGGACAAGCACGTGGTACACACCTGATTGTGGTCCCGGCTTCTACATTAGGTAAGTTCTAGTTAACTTTACACTTTTCTTTTGAAATAAAAATCTTCTATACAACAAACATTTGTAAATTTGTCACCTATGTTTCTATATGCTTTAAAATGATTAACAATGTTCTGCAATTTCCAAAATAATACTAATGTTTTTAGTTTTAATGAAAGTAAGAGAAATATCCATACATACACAAGGCACAAACACTAACCTTTGGCAAATTCTTGGTTTGTATTAAACAAACTAGCTGTTCCCATGCGGCTTCACCCGCATGAAATTATGAAAATTTTATTTTATTGTTTACATTTGTCAAATTATCAATACCAAATGTCAAAATGACATTACATGACAAACCTTGACTGTCTTGCTTCCTTGATGTTGGCAGCAACTTATGATCTCTTTCCCACATTAGGGTTGTTATCCAAAATATTTACCCCCTAAGTTTAATTGCGTGAAATATATAGCCTAAAGCGTGACGTAAGTGTAAGGCTTTTTATTTAATAAAGAATTATACAAAAATATGCTGTAAATGCTGATATCTTAGGCAACAAAGAAGTGTGTGTTTACGCTTTATTATAATAGTATAGATGATTGATGGTATCTATTTTGACTTGGCACATGCCAGTATCGACTAGTTTTCCAAATGTTTTCATACAAGTGTATAGACAGTAATGTATATTCTAGACAACTGGAGCGGCGAGCTGGCGCGCTGGTGTCCGTCACTGCGAGTCAGCAAGTACTACGGCAACCCTGAAGAGCGCCGTCAGCTCCGCGTGGAGTACGCACGAGGACTGGATAACATCGACGTCGTACTTACCACGTAAGTAATCTAACTAATTATTAGTGCCAATGTTTAGATGTATGGGTATTTATTAGATGTTATCTCTATAACAACTCAACGGATCTTGATGAAATATATACTTGTAAAACACGTAGGTGTATGTTTTCGTAGTGGAATCGCGGGTAAAAACTAGTACCACTGTTAGGTAACACACACACTTATTGTGTACTAGCCTTTGCAAATGACATCGCCCGGGTGGAATTTAAATAAATCCTAGTAAGTAGCTTATGGCCACCTGGCTATGTGCTTTAATCTGTGCCAAATACGATCAAAATTCGTTTGAGTTTTGGTAAATAAAGAAACATACATACATCCAATATCCATAATGTAAGTGTGATTTCAAATAAGAATGTTCGGCACAAAAATTGATTTGCAGTGCATACTCTATTGATTTTTGCAATATGACAGCTATGTAATAAAACATACTTTCTGGTTATTTGAATATTGATTTACTAATATTTTTGTAACTAATTCCAGATACACGATGGTGAGCAGTTGTCCTGAGGAGCGCAAGATGTTCAGAATAACATCTATGCACTATGTCATTTATGATGAAGCTCATATGTTGAAGAACATGTCTACACAAAGATATGACAATTTATTGAGGATCAAGGTAAGATAATTTAAAGCATCGGTTAATGTATCATTATAATGCATTTTTTTTACCCTTAAAAGCCTGATTTTTCAAATCGAATTTACAAAATGTATATGCATACCCTTTACTGTGTTTCTTATTGAAGGGTTAAAATATTAAAAGAATCAAAACAATATTATATATAAACAAAATTATACAATATTATATATGCTCTTTTTTGTTTACTAACTTGAAGATTATATTAAAATCGATTGTAGGTATTGATTTTTTTTTGGTAAAAAAATGTGTTTTATTGGCGTCTTAGAAATTTTGTCCATAGTTGATATTTTTAAATACCTGATTCTAATCATACTAGTATCGTTCATGCGAAAGTTTGGATGGATGGATATTACTACGTATTACCAAATCTCGCTAAAATGTAGCACAGATGTATGATGTAGTCTGGAACACGTCGGCTACCTAACAAGTTTTTTTTATTTCTAATTGTATTGTAATATTGTAAAAGACTAGTATTATTTTATTATATATAATTTCAGTCGAAACACCGTCTGCTGCTGACGGGCACGCCGCTGCAGAACAACCTGCTGGAACTGATGTCTCTGCTGTGCTTCGTGATGCCGCACATGTTCTCCGGGAAGACGGACGACCTCAAGAGCTTGTTCCAGAAGAATGCAGTAAATATACTTAACTTATAAAATCAGAAAAAAAAAATATTTTTTCATACTTAATTGGTTAATTAGCGACTTGTTTAGGTATTTCTTCTTGTAAATTAAATGTACTTATTTGAATTTATTATTCGATTATAATTGTTTAATTGTAAAATTAAAAAATGTTAACGTCCGAATCGATGCCTTCGTGTGATTATTAACTTATATTTAAATAGGAGTTGTTTCCCCTAAGATATTTAGGTGATAACCTAGTTTAAAATAACAAAAAGAAAGGATGTATGTGCTTGTTTGTAACAAATAAACTCAAAATGCGCTTGGCTGATTTTAAAAATTCTATCACCATTAAAAAGCTACATAATCACTGAGTGAGATAGGCTATATTACGTTAATTTAAATTCCGCTCGGAGGAAGTCACGAGCGAAAACTTATAGTAATTTATATATTACAGAAAGTGAAAACAAAAAAGGCGAATGGTACTGTTTCTCCAGAAGATGATGTGCCAGCATTCGAGGAGAGTCAAATCCAACAAGCCAAGAGGATAATGAAGCCTTTCGTGCTGCGAAGACTGAAGCGGGACGTGCTGCAGGACTTGCCCAAGAAGACCAACCACACGGAGCTGTGCCCCATGTCCGGTAAACAGCAGATGCTGTACAAGAATCTCATCGCTGCGTTCTCAGCTAAGGATGGCACGGTTAGTACCTTTGTAATAATATCCCATGTGAAATTTGCTTGTCAAGGCTTCTACTAGGTGAAGTCTAGTATTAGAGAATGAAATATGGTGAAGAAGTTGAGGTAAAATACTAGTAAGAATCTATAGTTTAATATAAGAAAGTGTATATACACATCTCATAGCATATTTTTAAATGATTCTTAAATTAAAAAAGCCATACACTTACGCTTTAGGCTATATGTTTTCACGCTATTGAACTCAGGGGGTGAATAAATTTAAAATAAGCCATTATGTGGGAAAGGGACATTAAACTCAAGCTGCCAATATCAAAGATGCAAGGTTGCTAAGGTAATGGCTATTATTCAATTTCAAAAGCCTTTGTTATTTGTGCATTTGAGACTGACAAATGTAAGCAATCAGCTTGTGTAATCTTACTAATATTACAAATGCGAAAGTTTGGATGGATGGATGGATGGATGATAGAGTTTGTAATCTCAGCGGTTAAAAGAATCTGGAAGAACACAGGCTCACTTTTTTTTAATTCCACGCATACGGAGTCGCTGGCGATAGCTAGTTTGAATATGAATGTTTTAGATTCATGCGACGACCGAGCAGAGTGGGTTATCGATGATGATGGATATGCGGAAGCTGGCCAACCATCCCCTGCTGCTGCGATACCACTATACAGAGAATGTTCTACGCAAGCTGGCGGGGCGACTGGTGCGAGAACACGGCTATAAGGAGAAGAACGAACAATATGCATATGAAGACCTGCTCTGCATGTCCGATTTCCAGATACACCAGCTGACACTCACCTACCCTGTAAGTAATAAAGCTTATTCATATTAATTACTATAGTAATCTATATATCGGTACGTATCGGACTTTGAAAGGTTCGGTAAAAAGTAGATGCACGCGAGAATCTTAGAAGACGTTTTTTTTTAAAATTCCACGCTAACGAAGTTTGCGGGCAGCTCGTAAAAAAGTAAAGAACCTTTTTAGTGCCATCCAAAAAAAATTCAGTGTTATACAAAATAAAAAAAAACATGTATGGAAATTTGAACAGATGGCAAAAGGGGGGAGGTTCAACTTAACCGACACTGGTTAAGATCCCTTGTCGAGCTGGTTTTCAGCCACGTCCCCCTTTTCCAAGATTTTCCATTCCCAAAGTAAATGCGAAAGTTTACATGTATGGATGTTTGTAAGAGTTTGGATGATGTTTTCTGAAACTCATAGACTAGTTTGTTTTGTTTTTTAATTCCACGCGGACGGAGTCGCCTGCGAAAGCTAGTTAAATACAGGCATTTGTATTGTCAATTTTAACACTAAAAGGTATTTACGTATTTGGTATGGAATTAGGAGTTTAAGAAAGTTTTAAAATCTCTTCCAGAGTATAAGATCTCATTCCATCCCTGACCACCTTATCCTGGACTCGGGCAAGTTCCAAAAGCTGGACGAGATGTTGCCCCGGCTGCAGGCGGAGGGTCACCGTGTGCTGGTGTTCAGTCAGTTCACCATGATGCTGGACATCCTCGAGCCCTACCTCAAGCTGCGCCGCTACCGGTACCTGCGGCTGGACGGCAGCACCGCTGTTACTGATAGGTATAACAATATTCAAATAATATTGCGGCTCGTGTGTACTTACACATGTGTAGGTGCTGAGTAGTATTACAAATGGAATTGTTTTCAGCAGATCGTTTATGGTATAAAGTTAAAATAGATATGTACTTTTATTATTCCCATTTTGGCTCTTGTTTTGTCTATTATTAAAACCCACTTAGATAGAAAATCACATAAAAGGACACGGCAGGTAAAGTGTATTTTTATATGTCTATTCTCCTGTCACAATCACAAAAAGTGACTCATAATTTAGTTTGACATATGTCCACCTGGTAAAATATCCTTTTCGAACTATACTTTGAGCTCCATGGAAGATTTTCTGTAGATCCAACATTATCTTTAAGTCTGCAAAAAAACTTTAAAAAGGCATTGTATTAACAATGATTGACAATAAACGCGATTTAACACTAGTGTTAAATCGCGTTTATTGTCTTCGACTCACTTTTAATCACAGTACAGAAAAATTGTGCTCTTGTAAGTCCATATGGGTAGAGAGATCATATCAAAAATGGCCAAGTATGAATTAATATTTTTCTATTGTATTACAGACAAGAGTTAATAGACCAGTACAATACGGAGGATATCTTCGTGTTCCTGCTGTCGACTCGCGCCGGCGGACTCGGCATCAACCTGACGGCCGCGGACACCGTCGTCATACACGACATCGACTTCAACCCATACAACGACAAGCAGGCGGAGGACAGGTGACATACAAACACATACAACACTCAGTGTTTACTAAATACAGTAGAACCTCGATAACTCAAACCTCGGTAACTTCAAAAAATAATATGTTCCTTTCCCATCAGAGCCCAAAACCTCTAAAACATAGACCCTTGATAACTATAACCTCTATAAGTTAAAATATCTTGTGTTTCCCTTGGACTTTAACTTAACGAAGTGCTACTGTACAGAGTTTTCACCGCTACTCCGTCTGCACGGAATTATAAAAGTGGTGGTAGTCTTCAGACTGTTTTACATTTTTGCCAAATTTCATCAAAATCTGTAAGTTGTTCCGGAGATATCTTACAACAAACTATCATCCATCCATCCAAATCACATTCATAATATTAAATATCCTACGGAGGATTATCTGTGATAGCTTGTTTATTTGTCAGCAAAATAGAATAGGTTTTTTTTAATGTCATATTTTTGGATGTAAAATATGAAATGTTAATAAAATAGATTTTTTAAATTAGTTCGTCACACTGGACACTAAGGGTTAAGTTTAAGTCTTTACTTCCTTTTGTATTTTTTAAATTTTTTTCTTTTATTAACGTTTTTGATGTTGCAGATGTCATAGAATGGGTCAGACCAGACCTGTGACGATATACCGGTTGTTAAGCGCCGGTACGATAGAGGAAGGAATATATCAAGTGGCGCAGGAGAAGTTGAACTTGGAGAAACATGTTACAGGAGCTGACGGTAAAAAAAAAAACAATTAAAAAGTAGATTTATCATATTACCCATTATTATAGTCATGTTTTCTAAAGAATCTGTAGATTTCTTGCACTAAAGTGTTACTTTAGCGATTTTTAAACGATTTGTATATTGTCGCGCTTTTTTTAATGTTTTTAAAATTAATTTCAGAAAATGAAGCAGCGGAACAGAAGAATGTTGTGCGACTGCTGTCAGTCGCGCTCGGCCTCACCTCGCCCAACAAATGATTGTTGGCCAAACATAATGCTGGCGTCGTCTTAGTACCGCAATCAACGACACTTGCACAAATGTGAACGTGGAGCGAACAAAACTGCAAATCTAGACATTTGTCCAAATGGAACTATCTTTTCTTCATCTATGAGTGACATTTGCCCAGATAGTACCAACATTCATTCATATGTTACCAATATTTGTCCAATTGGAACCAACGTTTGTTCATGTGACCTGCATTTTCCCAAATTTAACCCACATATGTCATATTACATTTGCACAAATGTTGACAGAATTGACCATAAAAGCTTGCCCAATAGTGACTTGTACTAAAAATATCCAGTGCATATTGTTGCTGCAGTGACGTAAGTTATATTTATCTTACCTTTTGTATGAGGGTTTTAGGTCCATTAAGACCGGAGCTGAGATCAGAGCTAATTATTGCAAACGAAATTGAACAGATAAGGTTTAGTGTAGTTTGATGCTTGTTCTTTGATAAGATGCAAAGGAAAATAAACCTTGTTTCAATTAGATAAGGCTCAATTTTATTTGCGATATAATTAAGCTCCAGTCTGAATTGGACCCTTTGAATGTAATGACGTCACTTATATTGCTGTCTTTGTTTAGTCAAAATGAATAAAAGAGATGTCTATATGTGTGACAATTGTCGTGTTTGTAACCACATTAACTTTGATTATGAGTTTGTAAGTAATTGTATATTCATGTAAATTCTAGGATACAGTAAAACTGATGTATAATAACATTTAACCTATATTTTAATTAATGAGTTGTATAGAATTAAAAAAAAAAATTGTGAACACTAAAAATATATTTAAAAACTTTAGCAGTTCACTCAAAGAATAGGATGACTGTCTCTACTACTTTGCCAGGTACCATCCTCACCATCTCGATAGCTGGCTTTCCACAACCGTGCGGTTTTCGCGGAGCTTTCTGCATAGCCGCGTTGTGGAACGGTCTGTCCTTGGCGGTATTTCCAAACCAATACGACTTAGGGTCCTTCAAGAAGCGAGCCTATCATTCCCTCAAAGGCCGGCAACGCATCTGTAGTTCCTCTGGTGTTGCGGATGTCCATGGGCGTCATTGACCACCTTTGTGTTCCCGCCGCTCGTTTGCCCCCCTTTTTTATAAAAAAAAAAACTAAATGTCATTGAAATTGTTAAAATTTACTTGAAAATGAGTAATTATTATAAATTTAAACAATTTAACCTCTATTACGCTGCGTACATATTTTTGTATCATCATTTTGACTCCGAAACATTTAAAGGACTTACAGCCTTACAAATAAACGCGGTACAAATTTCTTAGAGTTAATTTATTCTATTTATTAAGCAAAATTTATACTAATATTTGCTTTATTCCTAAATTACATTTTCAGTGCAATGTGTTAATAAAATTTCTCCTTTTCTGTGGTCCTTTAGATCTTTTACTTATCGTCTGTTTTCACAAAAACTTATCAAACGTAAACTGGCTTATTATTTAATAGTAACTTATTTATACGAAAATATTAATATTATGCAAAAATAACTGATTTAACTACCTCATTCCAGTATTTATAAAAACCAGTTTCCGTTTGAAAATGCTTTAGAAAATGAATTTATAGTAATTTGTATAAAAATGTCGTTTTTAAATCTATACAACTCTGATGTGATGAATGCATGGTGAAAATTGTTTTTTAAATTAACAAAATCCAATAGTCACAGGAAAAGACAAAAAAAATCTATAAAAAATATTGTTAAAAATTATGAAATTTAAATAGCACTTTTGGTTTATATAAAATTATATATTTTTGTATATCCTAAAGGCTTAAAGACGAATTTTGCACTTAAATGCCTCATAGATATATAAGTTAGAACTTAATTATTCAACCCAACGTTTAAAGTATACGTCTTTTCAAATATCCTGTAGTTTCACTTAACATTGTGTTCTGAGGGTCTATCATGAAAACACTTGCCAGAACGTATTCATAACGCGAAAAACAAAATATGGTATGAGATTTTTATTGTTCTTTACTTATATTTAATTTTTGTTAATAATCTTATGAAAAGATTCTCATAAGTGTTTGTAATAAGCCCTCTGTGCATTCGATGTTGGAAGTCGCCAAGATTTTCGAATACTTGTAATTTTTTCATTGTTATACGAAAAGATTTTTCAGTTTCAATGTCTTGATTCCATTATAATGTTGATAAATTTATGAAATATCAAAAAGTTTGAGATTGTACAAACCTTTTGATATCACCAAAGTGACAAAGCTGAAAGTGATTTTAATAATTATTTGTTCGTTTATTAAGCTATTTATTGTTTTTTTTTTATTGTGCTCATTCTAAGTAGTTAATATTTGTTTTAGTTTAGACATTCCGTTGTGGGATTGATTGAAAATTTTTAGTTGTAAGTAGACATGCATTTAAGTCAAATAAAATTATGTAAATATGATACATTTCATTTACATTAATCAAAATCATCACATCTTAATTAAAACTGCTTGTATACCATTTCCCCTGTTTACACTATTCCAGTCCAGCGAAAGACCTGCACTGGAATACAACCGGCGAGATTAAATCCACCCTTCGGCACTACTTTGTATGGGGTTCCAGTTCTGGACTGGAATAATATAAACTGAGCAGTGAGTTCTTGAAAATGAGAATTAGAAAAAAGAACTGTCACAGTAAATTTATTCGTTTTAACGATTAAAATTGAATAAACGAGCGGAGTTAGACAAAAAATTGACATCTGTCTCGTCGTCAACGCATTATGCACGTGCATGAACTACTCGTTCGCCATAACATGAGACCCCAGTCCGATGATGTCACAATGGCGCTTGTGCAGTAAAAGCATCTAGTACAAAAAGTAACCGTGGGTTTTCACTGTGCCTAAACATTAATGTAGAAATATTGTTATCTCTCGTTCCAGAGTGAATTTCAAAGGAAATAATTGAGATATACTTATTCTGTATCTTAGTGAGAAACCACGCCCAAGAGCCGACAATTGTCCTTGTACCCGGCATTTAACATGCAATAATCACGTGGTGGTTGCATAAATTCAATTGTGTTTTCACGAGCACTTAGCACGAAGTATTGATAAAATTTAAAAAATCAAATTCACATAATACATGTTACCTTGCAGTATCTGTGTAGATTAATGGAATCTACACTAAGTAAAAGTTATACTCACTGTCGAAAATGCGTAATTAACACAACCTATGAAGCGTTTATTATGACAGCAGCGCGGCGCCGTAGCAAGCTCTCGCCGCGTGGAAAGCCAGCACCGTGCAGTCCGCGACGCGACGTCGATGTAGAGCAAACATTGATTCATGCATTCAATAGACCGAGACGTTTTCCAACTGCCGCCTCGCTCCAATCATTACAACCAACTCACAATTTGCAAACGTTGGACAAACATTTTATAATAGTAGTGGTTGCATTTTGAAAACATTAGTCATGTTCAAAACAAAAACTGCGTAGTAAAAAATTAAATCGATTTTTTGGAGAACATCGCTTGTGTGTTGTTCTGCATAAGGGCAGAAACAGTGCTATATGCTTTCAAGTATACATAAAAGTGTTGGTGTATATTGCCAATATTGGTTCAGCAGTGTTTATGGTGCTGAAGACACGGTGTTGCGAGTGTGTCGGTGTTGCGGACGAGCGGGGCGCGTGTGTGCGCCCGCGCAACGTCAGTCGGCACACCGCCCGGGCGGGCGCCACACGACCGGACTCTGCGCTAGCGAAAGGCGACGCGATCAATATAATTTCAGTGAAATATACCGCGGATACGCCAACGAACGTTTTGGAAACGCCAGCGCACGATCTGGTGAGTACAGACAGTTAATATCGCCACTATCATCACGAAACGCTCGATATTCCGTAAGCCGCTTCTATATATAGTGCGCACATATTTTCGGCCGCTGCATCGAGGGAGAGGTTATGCGTTTAACGCGTTTCCCTCGACTAGTTACAAGTTTTCACGACGTATCCAGTATTGTAATAAAATAATTACGTGGCGCAGTTTCAGCGACGTATTGTTGCAGTAAAAATGACCGAATGAACGAAACGAAAGTCCGACCGGGAGCGGGTTTTATTCGGACGCGCCTACACGACTAACGCGGATCTCTATTGACTAATTGCTTCGAGGCTGAACAAAATAGAATTTCTTATCTGTAGAGACGGTTTCAGACTTCACCTAGACGTGTATTGTGGCCTAAATACTTCACCGTCTTAGCATTTACATTACATATGTAGGGATATAAATTCTTTAAGCAGCGCTAAAAGAAAATCCATTTACGCACGTGTATACGACTTCCAAGACATCTATTTTTACATTTGTACTATTTCTACAAATGATTAAAAACATTTTTCTCGTAAAGAAGACACATTGTGTAACTCTACACAATCAAAGAGCTATACCAAACTATTACGTTTATTATACAAACATGAAATAGATACCGTGATAAGCCAAACGTTGATAATTAATATTTTGGAAATAATTCCCGTTAATTGAATTGGTACAGCAATCTATGCGATTTTCTAGACCTAACGTAAAACTGGTAATTTCAGTCGCAATCTTATACGATACATTTGTTTCTAGGAATTGAACCTCGATCTACAAGTCGCTCATCGTTAAAAAAGTTCATAGCAATTCAATAGTTTTATTCAAACTACAATTATAAACGCATCAGTCGTTCCGCGTGTTGATTTTGAACACATAACAATTTATGTACTACCGTTTTTAGGATCTTCGCTCTATTACTTGTTTACATTACGATTTGCCTATCGCCTAGGTTGAAGCAAACGTTTGCAGTTAACGTAATTTTCAAGAGGCAATGTTGGTTTTGTTGGGTAATGTTACCTAGCGAATGGATACGGGCCATTGAGTGAGGTCACTCACCCCTCAAACTGAGCCCGCGGACGCCAGACGTTACAGCAATCGCGTGTTGTGAATCTGTGCTGAATTACCTGTCTGCCCGCCCTCCCCCCATTACGTTTTATACTCTGCAAATGTGTTTTTTTTATCAAAAAACTATTGTTTCTTTGGTATGTTGGTACAAATGCTTTGGTTATTACTAGTATATTAGCTTATAGCCGGTTTCCCAGACGTTTAACCATTCGATAGTGTTTCTGGATCGATAAATTCATATAATGCGTTTCCGAACTACGTAACTTGAGTTTTACTTCGTTGAAAGAGGTCAACTTAATACTAATAAATTACTAAGTAGTGCCAAAATAAATGGAAACTTCAGAAACCCAGTATTAGAAAAGTAAAATGCAGTTTTGTAACGCTCTACTTATAATAATGCATGTCACAAACTAATGTATCAATTTGTCTTAAAATAAATATAACCGATTTTATATTGCGGCAGGTCGGAATTTAGAAGGCTTTAATTCCAACTGGTTTGCTGGTTTGGTTAATTTCCATTTGTCGGATTTGTTATCGGGGTGGCCTTTGTAACGTCATGTCAGGACATTTTGGCCATAAATATGGTCAACGATTACATTTTAACCTTTTCAGAAGATATTGTAAACAATTATTAGATGTTATATTTCTTTGTTAAAAGCTGAGTTTGTCTTGGCCTCGCCTTTTAGTTTAATTTTTGATTATTCTGAAAGTTATTTGAAAATAACTTAGCTCTACATAAAAGCAATTAATGTTGATATTTGTGTCTGTCAACAAAATAAACAATAATTATAACTAGTTTTATAACAATGGGTAGACACAATAACCTATTAGAAAGCGGCCTGTCCCGGGGAACTAGCTCATCGCCAAAACAAGCATAATCTTTATAAATTATTAAAGAGTTTTTATAAGTATTTTGTTTTTTAATTAATAACAGATATGTGTTATCATACTTCTTATAGAAAATAATAAGGAATGTTTTCAGTCTCTATCAAGAAAGTAAATTGGTTCTAACATTCTGATTTTCTCAACACAACGGTATTCAATATTCATCATTATAAAAATCAACGCAGATAGTTTATCCAATTTCATAATACATTACCGTCTTTAGTTTACCAGTTACGTTAGGTTGTAGTCAATACGAGCAATGGATAGCTAAATAGAATACAAAGCGTGGGCAGCAAAAATGGCGCGAATTGCGGCGGCCATGACAATAATGCACACCTGTGGACTTGCATGCGTTATTGACTATGCTAACGACGCACTAAAATACAATCTTATAATAATTATATTAATATCATAAATGCGAAAGTTTAGATGGATGGATGTTTGTTAGAGTTTGTAGTCTAAACGGTTGAACGGATCTCTGTGAAATTTGGCATAGATGTAGAGGATACTCTGGAGGAACACATAGGATACTTATTTTTTTTTTTTAGTTCTACGAGGACGGCGTCGTGGGCGAAAGCTAGTAGATTATTATATCAATCCTTGATTTCCTCCTTGTTTTTTAAAAAAAAAGAGTTCGTGGATTAACAAAACACTAACGGACAAAAATTAAAGTGGAAAGTGAATCAGAATTCGTTATTAGTCCTATTGTCATATTTGGACATCGTTTAGTACTAATTTCTACAGTTTAGTTAGAGTGTAATTGTTAAAAATTTATCCTTACCCAAAACGTTTTATAAAAAGTTTCAACAACGTAAAGAAACGAGTATTTTATCCGGACAAAGCGTTGCATCATTATCACATGACGGAGGCGCTAATGATAAATTGCACACGACACAAATCTATGCAAATTTTTGATAACTAGCTGTCACAATATAAAAAATCCTTCAGATACGTTCCAAATGTATGCCAAAGGTTAGCAAGATCCGTTGAGCCGTTCTGGAGATACGTAGTAGCATCCATCCTGGCTATCCTTCTAGCTAAACTTTCGCATTAATAGTATAAGCAAGATGTAAGATTATATAATTGTGCAAAAAAGTATTAAATAAATCTATCTATACTATCTATGCTTCTATACTATTATAATAAAGCGTAAACACACACTTCTTTGTTGCCTAAGATGTCAGCAATTACGGCATATTTTTGAATAATTCTTTTTTTAATAAAAAGCCCTACACTTGCGTCACGCTTTAGGATATATATTTTCACGCCATTAAACTTAGGGGTTAATATTTTGGATAAAAAGCCTAATGTGGGAAAGAGACCATAAGTTGCTACCAACATCAAGGAAGCAAGATTTCATGTCATGTCATTTTGACATTTGCTATTGATAATTTGACAAATGTAAACGCTAATATAAAATTTTCATGCGGATGAAGTCGCACGGGAACAGCTAGTAAATAATTAATGAGAAATTTGCAAACACATTTTTTTTAACCAAAATTCAAACCTTTATGAAAGAGCAACATCTCTAAGTTAAATCTTTTCAATTAGTATAGAAAGATAAAACTTTAGTTCCGGATGCAATTGTGGTTATTGCAATGGTAATACAACCTTATAACCGTGGATTTACACATCTGTAACTCAGCAAGAACATATAGTGTTTTATTAGTGATTTTATTAGTGAGTTTTATTAGAGAGTTTTATTTTGTTCTAAGACTCATCACATAGCTAGATACAAACGTCAAATAACCATGGCAGTAAAACCACGTAAATGATATTTAAATTCTTGTCCATTTCGTATGAATAGCAAAAATTTCCATAAGTAAATATTTTTATCATGAACAAAGATATGTAAAATGTACAGTACATCCTGTCACGAACGTGCATATATCAATCGAATTTTATCTTTAAAATTAAAATTACAAAAAGAAAACAAAGACATGAGGCTCGTGCTCGACGACCTAGAACCTCACACTCCGTGTGTATACAGATGCAAAATATACCAACTTTGTTGACACTTTACACATGAAAATCGACTTTATTAAAACGGATAGAAGTAGAAATTTCGATGTAGTTGATGTTAGAATATGTGTGGACTTGTGCAAGCGGCGGTCGGAGTAAACACAGTGATGTCACCCGGTGACGCGCGCCTTTTATCCGGCGTGTGGAGATGATCGGCAACGCTATTCACGGTTCAGTACGATGGGTGTGTTCAGACGTCCTTGCATAGAATTTTGTAGGGAGTGTTTATGTAAGCAATTGCACTTAAGTGGTTGAGGCCACGGTGATTTGTATGAATGAATTAAATCGATGTGCCCAAGAGTTTAAATTTAATCTAATCAGAGAAACTAAGTTCAGAGAAATATCCCATTGTAAAAATGGCGTGACAACCACGACATAGTTAAACCGACTTTATAACAGTAACCTATTTTTATCCAAAATGAAAGATATAAAAACATCAAACTTATTCGTAAGAAGAAAAGTAAATGTCTAGTTTACAATCTCTTGTGATCCAATACATATAAAAAACAATAATGGAGTAACGGAAAGTTGAAAATGAGTTATTGAAAAGCAGTGATCTCATTTCGTGCGACAACGGACTGCTTGCAATAACTGCTAGCTGCTGCGGCTCTCGCGTGCATCCACAGTGCCGTTATTGAAATAGAGTTTGTACACTTTTGAGGTAATACAATAAAGCTACGTTTCCATTGTTATTTTATTCAAATTAAACATTTCTAATATGGGTTCTGTTCTGTCTTTTCATATATTCTTAATCTTGGACTTAACGACGGTAGCTGTTAGAAAACCGGTATCCAAAAACAGAAATCTCTCAAAAAAGTTTATTGCTTTCCTTTGATGTCCAAACACAGCTAATCTGTTATATTTTATAGTTTGTTCGTGTTTTAATATAATGATATGTCCGCAGTGAATCAAATACGAGCAAAGTGAACGAGTACCGAGTGCAGACCACGACGACGGCCGGCGCACAACGAGCGAGCGGTGAGTCATCGCCACTTACCACAGCTTCACAACACGACACGCTACTGCATGCCACCGGATAATTGTGAACTTAGACACTTCAAAATCGGACTAGACAGTAAAAACATATAGAATACAGGACAAATATTTGTTTTTTTTTTTTTTTGTGAACACTAAGCTACTAATGCAGGTGTTCTGAAGATTACATTTATTTTATCATTACGTAGTGCTTCATTAGTGTTAGGTTCGCGTATGTTTCAACGTAGTAAAACTCAAGTTACGTAGTTTAGAATATTACATGAAGTTATCGAACTAAAAACACTAACGAATAGTTAAACGTAGTTTTTTTTTTTTTTTTTT